CCCCCCCCCCCCCCCCCCCCACAAACATCCGGAGCATTTATACACCGACCTTTTTGTTCTGTGACATGCTGGAGATCCAGTGGGTTGGAGCAGACTTGATTAATCAAGACCGTTCTGCATGTGAGCTGACACGCATTGTGCTGCTTCGCGTGCAGTTGTATAAGCGGCAAAATGCACATCAGCGCACAGAAAATGGCGGTGGTGCACTTTGGAACTAAAACACCTGCGAAGTGTTAATTCAAAAAGCAAGCTGCTGCCATTTTCTCAGTGCTGACGTGCATTTCACCACTTACACAATTGCATGTGCCACAGTGCTGGCTGCTTTTAAAAATGCCTGGTGCTGTGGCGCAAACACGTACAAATGCCAGCATTACAATTTATATTGTTGCCCCTAGCGTTCTAGAATGCTAATCTGTACAGAATACTAGTGGCAACAGTACAAACTGTAATGCTGTATTTTCTTGCATACTACACATACCTTTTTCCCAGAAATCAGCTGCTAGAATTTGGGTTGAATGTTTTTAAGTGAAGATATTTGGTAGGAATCAGCTCTGTGCATGCTGCCTCACTGGGGCTGAAGCTGGCTTGACAGGGGCTGCTGTTCTGGTGCCCCCTCTAAATTAGTGCCTGGAGCTGGTACCCCTCTTGGGGCGTGGGGGGCTCCCAATTCCCCTACTGCTGGGCTCCCTAGGTGCCCTGTATGCTCACTGCGCTGCCTATGTGTAGGGTTACTGTTCCTTTTTTCCCCTGCAGGTGCTGCCACTGACATGGCAGGACCCTCTTCATTGGCGTCAGTTTGAGGGTGTCCTGAGGCTGGATTCTGCTGTATTTTTTTGCTTGCCATCCGCATAAACAGGGGCAGCTGTAGCAGGAGGGAGCAACAACCTGTTTTTTCTTGTTTACCCCTGGCAGGCTGGCTTTGTTAAAGAGGACACCCTCATGCTGCTGCTGGGGAGACCCTGCTGTTGAAGGTGGAATTGTCCAAAGTGAAATGGAGGGGAGGGGAAGGGAGGAAGGAGAATGTAATCCTGTGCTTACTGAAGTGAAACCCTCAAACTGCTGCTTACAGACGCTTCTATTGCAGATGCTACTACTGAGTCCATAGCTAACCAGTAGGGGACTAATGCAGCAGCCACAGGCTGTTGCTCCCTTCTACTGAAAACAGAGAACATGTCTTATCTGGGGTGGGGTAGTATGTAAGTTAAAAAAGCTGTCCCTGAAAGGGGCTACTCCAGGTGTGGGCAAAATGCAGCCGGGGCCCACCAGGCTATTCTATCTGGCCTGTGGGGCCCCTAAAAAATTTAGAAAATTTAATATTAGTCTGCCCTGGGCAGCCTGTCATGCGGCCCTCGATGGCTTGCCAAAACTCGGTAAACGGCCCTCTGCCCAAAATAATTGCCTGCCCCCGGGCTACTCATACAAACCTGCGTTCTCCAAGCCTCATTTCTTAGTTATCTGTTGATCTGTCTGTGATGGTTAACACTTTGACTACCAGATTTGTTTGCATATGAATCTTGTAAAAACAAACAAACAAAAACTGAGCACAAAATTAGGTTGTTTGAACTAGGTCCTGAGAAATGGTAGAGTCCTGTGGGCCTAACTCTTATCCAGTTTACAGTGTGCATAAATCAAGAGTCTCTACGCAAGTCAGTTATGATTTTGCTCGTATAACTCTAGTGAAAGTGAGATTGGAATCAAACCCTTTAACTCTTAGGCATCCTGCCTATAATGGACTTAGGTTTTCCTCTTTCTATGAAATTTAAAGTTGGTAAGGAAGTTGTTTTCTTCTTTCTCTTTCTTCCTTTCTTTTTTTGCCTTTAAAATTGAATTGGATTCATCCTGTATTTTTGTTTTCTCTGTCTTTTTCTAAGCTAGGAAATAACTTTTTATAGAAGATGTTTAATTAGGGCTTCTAAAGTAATACAAAGCCTTGACACTGTTCAGTAGCCACAGGGAACCATAGTTAATCACCAAACCTAATAATATCATAGAAGTTTGCAGAATCTGGTTTGTTTGTTTTTTAATCATGTGCAGTGAAAAAACTAGAGATTGCTTTCCTGGAGCTTCCAGAAGAAGCTGAGGGGCTGCTCTTCTTTCATTAGACTACAGTATAACCACTCTAGTGTGCATACATAGGTGGTGGATGTGCTGAAATACTTTAAATCAATGGTCTCCAACCTTTTTATGGTGAAGATCACTTTTTGTAAGTAAAGGGCACCCCAGGATCTACTGCCCCTGTCCCCCGCCTCTTGGATAAGCTTCCCCAGGCTCTGACCCCACTTATCCAGCCCGGCCCAGGCAGCAGGGGCATGACAGCCCAGCCATGTGCGTCCTGCCACTCCCGATTGTGGAGCCTCTAACAGACTGAGATTGACTGACTGATTGGTGACCACTGCTTTAAATACTGACCTGAGGATATAGTTCCTTTGTAGGACATACTGCTTGCTTGGTGGTGAAATAAAGAAATCTTGACGTAGATGAAGAAGTTGCTAACAAATTATACTAGAATTGTGTTCTGCAATCAAAGTGTATATTCTCTGCTTTAAACCAGCTGACCATAGGATGGCTAGGTTTAATATCTTTTGGATGTATTTTCCATCAGCTGTTGACAGAACCACCAGTGAAAGTTAACAGGTTATTAAGGTGCTTTGGAAATTTGAACACCAATTACTTTCACATCACTGGCCTCCATCATCCTAAGTTTTTGAGTAGTGAAATGCTATGTCTTCATGTATTGCATTTTAAGTCCATGACAAGCAGTCCTCAAACAGTTTCCACAAGAAAAAGGTAAGGCTGTAGGAACATGTTAGTAATTATGAGCGTGTACAACAGAACACTGAACAACTGCATTAAGACTGACCCCTGGACAATTATGACAACATGCAAGTGGTTGGTAAACACAACTGGAAACACATTATAGTAGAGACAGCACATTGTAAAGAACCTTGTTCATAATTGAAGTTTTTTTTTCTTGTCCAAGATCTCAGAAATAGCCAGAGATTTCCTGAACAGAAATGAGCAGGAACTGCTTAATAGAACTTGGAATGGAAGAAACTGCACTGCAGAAACAATGGAAGTCTGACTTGGACACACGGTAGATTGGCTATTCAGTGTTCTACTGCAGAGGTTGTCAACCTATGGCTTGTGGGCCAGATCCAGCATCTGAAAGTCTAGTATTGTCCATGTCTTAATAATGGTACACCAATCCCCTGCTTTTACTCCAGTTGGCCTTGCTTTTTGCAGAGGGATGCTCTTTTGCCCCTTGTCTGCCCTGCCACCTCTGTTTGCTGTTGCTGCTGAATCAGCCTCTCCAAGTTGTGGCTTACCTTGTTTTTTCGCAATGGCTGCATTGCGGGTGAGAGCTGCCCTCTGTACACATTGGAGGCGGCTGGGGCAGCAGCAGGGGATTGGTGGTTTATGGCAGTTGCTGCACTGCAAGCTGTGGCAAGCTGCTAGTAAAAGACTGCCAGCCTCTGTTCTACTGCATTGCTTTTGATTTTATTAGAATGAACAATGCCTAAAAAGTTAAACCTGGTAAATTCAGGTAGGCTATGAATGCATATTTCTTCTGCCTTTTGGAATGTACCAGATACCTCAGATGGGATGGCGGGCATGTACAAAAAACAAACAAACAAACAAAAATCGCAGCTTCCTAGTGAAGGGTATTTCTGCACATTCACTCCTCGCTCACTTTCCATGTTCAGTTATCCATTACATTCACAGTGCATTCAGAATTTGGATTGGAGCTGAAGAATGACGCTGAAAGAAGTCGTAATTTAAGATAGTTTCTCACAATTTGGAATGGCTACGGTTTTTTAGCTTTTGGAAATATAAAGTTAGCACTCCCTCTCAAGTACATTTAACTCTGCTTTTATCAGCGTTACAAAAGGTCTCCTATAAAATGGAAGCTATTGAAAAGTCGTCTGTTAGTCAAACAGGTGTTCTGTTGTGGATGCCCAGGAAGAACTGCTAGTTCTGAGAGAAATCAATTTAGGATTCTCTTGTAAAATATTGCCTACTTTCAGTTTCCACAACTCAAAGTTCATTGCAGGAAAAGTTGCTTCTTAATTTGCACTTTAAAATACGTTGATCTTGCTGTAAATGGATTAAAAAAACCTAACTCATTCTTAGCATTTGGCAGAGAGAGGGCTATATTTTGTCTGATACTTTTAAAGAGAGAACATATGGAATTGTAGACACTCCCCCCCCCATCACACACACGCATTGGACTGACTAAAATAGCTTCTTTCCATATGTGTTTTTTCCTTACAGGTTTTTCATGACTACTAGAATATAGGCTGTATATGGAAAAGAAAACCCAAGCTAAGCTTAGAGCTTCTAAAGGGCAGTAATAGTCTAAACATTAGAAAATGTTTATTTCAGTCTTTCTGAGGCGTTGGTCTACTTTGGATTTTTATATTTACATATACACACTTTCTTGAATTTGTGCGGTAGAGTTGCTCTTCACTGAGTTATAGAAACTATGTATTCATTTTTTATTTAAATGGGAGCAGAGCCATTTACATTTTGAGTGTTACTCAGAGGCACTGAGCACCCTCACCAGCTATTACAAAAGGACCTTGTACACGTACAGTTCTTACAATCTTTATATAACTTTCTACATACAAATTACATCTTCATAGGCTTTATAAAATTAAACACAAGTTCAGTGAGAAATAGTGTGGAATAGAGGGTTTTATATGTAAAATTAAAGAGCCTGAAAAATAAGGAGATGAAGAGGTTTTGCTAGGTAGGCAGAGATGGAATGAGAGAGGCTTTTTCCAAGCTTATTTATCACTGACTTCCATCCTACCAGGTGATCACAACCCTCTCCTCCTTTTTAAAAAATAAATTATTTGTGCTAATCTGATTTTATTTTTTGGGGGTTTTTTTCTCTTAGATAATAAATACCAATATACAGAACAGAAGCCCTAAACCGGGGCCTACTACACATGAACAGGAACTGAGTTTTTTCTTAGAAACAGGACTCCAAAGAGCACATGTTTTGTATTTCAAGAATGGGTAAGATTTGACTTTGCATCTTTTTATTTATCACTTAAATTAGAATATGATACTGACAGATACCTAATTTCTACTTTATTACTGTACTAGAAATATGTTAGTTGAAAATATTTTATTTAACTAGCTATACAGCATACCTTATTCTGTGCATCTTTTACTATTTTTACTTTAAAGTGAAAGTAGTACTATTTAAATAAAATAATTGCAGTGTTTTCTTATTGATCATTATTATATGTAGGAAGTTAAAAGAATGTGTGAAATTTCTCTTTTGTGTTCAGGTTTCATTAATGCAAGTTATTAGAAAAGGCTGAAAACAAATTGGTTTTACAACTTTTTTTTCTAAATCTCTTCAGTTATCACTTATTTTAATATTATGCTGCAGGATTAATGTGCATGAAGACAAACAGTATGTATATATATCCTCTCTGTACCCACTCTGTAGATCCTTTTTTAGATTGTGCATGGGAGATCATTTATAATTTTGTTTAAAAAAATAAACATTAGTCTAAAGGTAGATGTAGAAATACATCCCAAACATTGCAAAAAATGAAAAAAGGAATAAAACCCTGTATTTATTTTTAGCACTTCAAAACTTGGCATATTGGGCTTTAAGTACATTTCTGGCATTTGTTGAAGATGTAATTTATCAGCTAGTTTCCTGGGCTGATGTTTTCTCATTTAAAAAAAAAAAAAGTGCTCAAACTGAAATCCTGGTTCTGTTGAACTCATTGAGAGTTTGACACAGCAGGATAAGGGTAGGGTTTTCATCTAAAAGTCATTTTGTATATTGTTCAAATGAAAATAAACAACTCCATTGGGAATGAGGAGTTATGCAATGCTGTAAAGAGTTGCGGCTTTTGATCCAAGTCATGCTGGTTGACTTGCAAAGGCTCAAAGCTTTGAAAAAATATGATGGCTTCAGCATGGAAATTGTCAGAGTTTTAGAAGTTTCATTCTTAGTGTATTGAAGTAGTGCCCCAAATAGAAATTTGGAAACCATGCATTGTAGTTTGTGGTTTTTTATCACTGAAGTGTGGGGAAGAATGGGACATTCTAGAAGCTCCATTTTTTTTTTTTCATTTACCACCATTGGAAAAATACTGATAGGTTTCCTTCGTACATGACCTACAGTACAAATATAAAATGACTAGTAATGGGAATTAGAGAAAAAATAGGTACAGGCTCTACACTTCTGAAAAGTTGAATGATAGGGATTGAAATACTGAATGAAATCATCCTTTATCTGGGTAGAGAATCTTTCTTAGTCCTTATCAGTTGATGTCTGGCACATGCTCTGGAGAGAGGTTTTTTTTGTCCCTTAAATATTTTGGTCTAGTATAATGTTTTTAAGCTACATACATTTGTGGTCCCTCTTTTGAGATTAAATTCCTGGCCTCAGTGGTCAGGTCTTAGCATGCAAGCTGGGGAAGAAAGATAGCTCCAGTTGTCGGGTGTCAGTCTCTCTAAGTTCTTCCATTCACCTCCTTCATGACCTGAAGCAAATTATAGTTTCCCCTTGTAGAAAGCATGTATATCGGATTCCACAAAGTTAAAGGAATTGCAGATTTCAAATAATACTATTGATGTCAACATTATGTGGGTATGATGGACACACATAATAAATCTGTTGTTCATTCATTGTTAGGTACTTTTGCATACCTGTGTAAGAGCTGCTTTTGGTTTTGTTGGCCGTCTCACTTTTTGCATAATGGGAGAATGTCCAAACAACTTTGCATAAGATATTTCCACTAACAGTTTCAGTAAACTCATTTCAATTTCCATTTAAATCATTATTTTTCAAGTTAGGTTTATGTGAATATCCCTGTACTTGCTCAAATTAAACAAGGTTTTTTTCCCCCCAGGCTGGGGGGGGAGGGAGAAGAGGGGAAGTAGGTCCTCATTTTATATTTGCATATCAGCAACCCCCTGTCCCTCACATATAATACATTATCTATCATTAAACTGCTGCTAGAAGCAACATGTACTCAGGCATGGAGCAAATGAAGCTGATTGAATGGAGCCCAAGCTGAGTTTGCCCATAAAACACCTGGCCCATGTGGCAAACATACTGATGGGAATCGTGTGTGTGTGTGTGTGTGTGTGTGTGTGTGGCCTTTAATAAAATAAACAAAAACCAGACAGTTTCTCCCCCAGGAAGGAACTGGCACTGGGCCTGGAAGTACTGCGATATCAGGTCAGCACCAGGAGGGCTAGTGCCAGCCCTGACACCCTCCCCTTGGTGCCAAAAATACTTGATTGTAAAGAACAAGATGCTGATGGGAGCCTTTACTTATGTATGTATTTTTACAAACATTATTAAAAACATTTATCTTTTTACCAATGCTTCATAGCGCAGAAACAACTATATAGCTAGCTAACTGTATGTTTTTTATATGAAACCCTTAAACAACATGCATCAACTTCCTACAAAAACCAAACCCTTACAGAAATCTTTTTCTTCATACAACAGCCCATGAAAAAACTTACCTTAGTAATCACCTGAAGCTCTCAGTCCCACTCATCAGTCTCTCTGGTTTAGTGAAAAGAAAAAAAAAAAAAAAAGCATGTCCAGTTTTTTCCTCCGCTTCTTCTCCACCTCTTCCTCTCCCATCTCTTCCTTGTCCTGAATGATGTAGTATTTCAGCTCCAGCTTCAGACACTCTTTCAGTGAAAGCCAACCCTGTAAACACCCAGAGGTTTCTTCCTTTCCATAAACTAGTTTTAATACATGTTAAAAAGTCCTTAATAATGTTTTCTCTGGTCCCTTTGGTATGAATCCATATAGTACCATCTCCCATGCTAATGACAGGTTTATTTTGGTGACATTCAGAAAGCGCTGGACCTTTCCCACATCCTATTCCTATATTTACACTCCCAAAATGTGTCCCACTGCTGCTGCTTCCCCACACCTCTCTCTCCGTCATGTTGATGAGCTCCATCTTCATTGCATTTCTCTCACCGGCAAAATATTATTTACAACAATTCACCCTAGGTCAGCATGTTCACCTTTTAGTTGTTTACCTGCCACCACTCCCCACACCTTCTTTATTTCTCTTTCTGTGAAGTTTCTCACTGGCATCATCCTTTCTCTTTCCTTTACCTCGTGTCAATTTCTTATGATCCCTCAGTACCTCCAGCACTACCTTCCCTATTTTATAAATCTGTATGATTTTATAACACCCATGGATTCTTCAAAGAGGTCTGATATACTTCTTTGAGGTCCATTTCCTCAAAATTGCAGCTGCATGAAATTGGGTGATACACACTGCTTTTCCCTCTCCCTCCATTACCACCTTGCACAGCACGCTTACATATTTTGAATAACTGAACAAGCCC